GACTACCTCTTCACCAAGGTTCAAATCAAAACGACGGTCGGAGGGTCCAGACATTTTCAAAGGTGTTGAAGAAAGAAGAGGTCGGACAAATCAAGATCTTAGAAGTTCAAAAGGGGAGTTTCTACAAGCGAAAATTCAAGTGTGCTTTGAAACGAACTGCGTGCCTCTATAAAGATCAACACTCGACGGGATTTCAAAGATCGAAGAGGCGAGCTCAGAATTCGAAGAGGCCAATTCAAAAATCAAAGAGGCAAGCTCAGAAATCGGAGAAGCATCTTGCTTTTCCAGACGCGTTAGCACCCGTCATGCGCAAACTCAGCTTTGCGGAAATCACGGGCAATTTGTTAAAACGCCAATCCCAGATATTGAAGAGACGCCAGTCTTTTTCAGCCTCGTCAGCACCCGTCACGCGCAAACTCAGCTTTGCGGAAATCACGGGCAATTTGTCGAAGCGCCGATCCCAGATATCGAAGAAGCGCCAATCTTTTTCAGCCTCGTCAACACATGTCACATGCACACTCAGCTTGACGAAAATTACGGACAATTTGTCGAAGATTTCTGATAAAGAAGAAAACACGTAAAGCCATACTGATCAATCACGCATTGGTTGCCGACACGAGTAAAAGAATAGTACCTCTACAGGTACTAAAGAATTTCCTATAACTGTCCACCTTCACCCTCCATAGCAAAACAGACATACATAACCTTTCTTCATCTCTGAGAATGCCTTCCCAACGAAGCCTCTTGAGTCACTCAGTGTTTCTTATTCCTTGGAGTACCTCTGCAAACAAATGACACCAAAGCAAAAGTATCTCATATCACCAGGGTAGAAAGCAAGAGTATCTCATATCATGCGTTCTCCCTGTCCTTTCCTTTTTCCTTGTTCTTACCTACAAAGACAAGGATAAAGAAAACAATATGCCGGAACCTCCACTCAAACTCGGATGCCACATTTGCCTGGAGAACAGATAAGGCAAGTGAAAATGATACCTTGCAGCATGTGGAGACAACGTACAGAAGAAACAAGCAGAGAAGAATGCAGTTTTCATAGTCAGCTCAGCAGAAGGAGTCCGAGCTGAGGAACTCAAAAAACTGCCACATCTGTCTGAAGAAACAAGCAGAGAAGAATGCAGCCTGCACTGTCAGCTCAGCAGAAGGAATCTGAGCTGAAGAACTCGAGAAGATGCTACATTCTACCAGAATAATAGATAAGACAAGGGAAAATGATACATTGAAGCATGTGGAGACAAGCACAACAAAGCACGTGTCGATTCATCCGCTACTTCTTCAAAATCAAAAGTATCTCATATCATCAGGTTTGCAATCACTCTGGGTGGAGGACTCGTTTTGACCCTCAAATTCTTGGGTCGACTTGCTAGGCGTTGTGGGCTGCATGTGCCGTTTCACCACCCTTGAATCAAGTCCTTAAAGATCAAGTCACCAACTGGAAGAAGAGCCCATCAATCTTGAAGATCATACCGTTGACCAAACTGCTCAGGTGTGAATTAGAAAGATTGAACAAAGCAACAAGTCGTCACCTTCACCTCGTGCCTACTTGCCATGTGTTCGAGTCAACCTTCAAGAATCAAGCATCAACGACCCTTGAAGAAGTTTCCGGCCAAATTCAAGATCAAGCCTCGACGGCCCTTGAGGAAATCACACAAGTCCGATTCAAGATCAAGCGTCCACCATATTTTAAATCAAATCCAGTTCAAGAATAAGCTGTGGAAAATCAACAATTGGAGGAATCCAAAAAATCCTCCAACCCAGTTCAAGATCAAAGCTGTGGAAAGTCAACAAAGCGCAAAAACAAATACGTGCCGATTCATCCACTACCAAAGCCAAAGATCATCTACCACATAAAGCTCCTTGTGGTCCAATTTCAACCTTCAAGATCAAGCCTTGACGGCCCTTGAAGAAATTTCAAAACAAAGTCCAAGAACAAGCCTCAACGGCCCTTGAAGAAATCTCCAGCCCAATTCAAGATCAAGCCTCGATGGCCCTTGGATTGACAACTACATTAAGGGACTTCAAAATGCATCTCCTACATGTAACAAGCACATGTATACAACGCGCCTTGAAGTGGGGGCATTTGTAGACATTGAAATTTCGGTGGCATAAATGTTAGCCATTGCATTAAGATTACATTTGTAAACATTGAAATTTTGGTGAAATAAATGTTGACCATTGTATTAAAATTACAACCTTCATTCACTTCACCTACATCATACACTAAGTTCACCTACAACATCCACCAAGTTTCACCTACAAACATCCACCAAGTTTCACCTACAACATCCACCAAAATTCACCTACAACATCCACCAAAACAAATGGATGGTGGTGATTCGTTCCCAAAGCCTATAAATAGGCTCTTCCATCAAAGAATCAAAAAAACCAATTCACAAATACATTTCTCTACTCCCAAAATGGAAGAGAATACTCCCCACACATCCAAAATCCTTGAAGCTTTGAAATTCTAAAGCTTTCAAGCATCCAACCTCCCAAATTCAAGCAAATCCCGAAGGATCAAGAAAGCCCTCTTCGTTCTTCGTCAAATCCTCCTTCAAGATCAAGCCCCAATGGCCCTTGAAGAAATTCCTCCTTCAAGATCAAGCCCCAACGGCCCTTGAAGAACTTCCACCAATTCAAGATCAAGCCTCGACGACCCTTGAAGAAAGTGTTCATCGTTCATCAATTGTTCATCCTAAGATCAAGCCCCAACGGCCCTTTGGATCAATAACATCAACAAATCCACATAACTGTTCATCCTAAGATCAAGCCCCGACGGCCCTTTTGGATCAACAACATCACCAAATCCACATAACTGTTCATCCTAAGATCAAGCCCCAACAGCCCTTTGGATCAACAACATCAACAAATCCACACAACTGTTCATCCTAAGATCAAGCCCCAACGGCCCTTTGGATCAACAACATCAATAAATCCACACAACTGTTCATCCCAAGATCAAGCCCTGACGACCCTTGGATCAACAATCATTCATCTTCAAAATCAAGCCCAAAAGCCCTTGAAGATCCGTTCATCATTATTCTTCAAGATCAAGCCCTGACGGCCCTCGAAGAAAGTGTTCTTCGTTCTTCGTTCATCGTTCTTCCAAGATCAAGCCCCGACGGCCCTTGGATCAACCATCCACCAATTCAAGATCAAGCCCCAAAGGCCCTTGAAGAACTTCCACCAATTCAAGATCAAGCCCCGACGGCCCTTGAAGAAAGCACCATCGTTCATCATCCGTTCATCTAAGATCAAGCCCCGACGGCCCTTGGATCAACAACATCAACAAATCCACACATCCAACCGTTCTTCAAGATTAAGCCCAAAAGCCCTTGAAGATCCGTTCATCACCGTTATTCAAGATCAAACCTTAACGACCCTTGAAGAAACACTCATCCTCAAAATCAAGCCCCAACGGCTCCTTGAAGATCCGTTCAAATCCACCTTCAAAGATCAAGCCCACGGCCCCTTGAAGAAACTTCCAACAGTTCATCCAAGATCAAGCCTCGACGGCCCTTGGATCAACGAAACATCCACAAATCAACACCTTACGGAGATCGAATCAGAGGATCAAATTTGAGAGAGATTGTAACCCAAAATCATCAAACACAAATATTATTTTGTGCACGTTGTTCTTGTCTCTTTCGTTTCAGGAAAATTTCGTGTTCACAGTAACATTGCTAGTTCTTTTTGGAGTTGTGTCAAACTCAGGGGGAGTATCCTAAAGTGTACTTGCTTGATCTTAATGTACTCTTTTTCCTACGATTATGAGCATTTTTCCCAATGGGTTTTTACAATCTAACTGGGTTTTAACAAGGCACCCACCTTGGGTTGATCATATCCCTAATGACGTCCCTTACGCGTTTCATTTGACTTTGCATTTCTCACGCATTTTTCCTTAGACTATGGGTTTTGTCCCTACTCGAGTTTTTACCATAGCCTTAGGGTTTTTTTAGTGAGATTTACTTCCTTATGCACGTTCCTACCTTATTTGAGAATAGCTTGTTCCCAGAATCAATGCCGACAAGTCGACTTTCTCAAGCTCTACATGATGTCGAATCTACTTGAGTATTTACACACTCAAGGGGGAGTGTTGTAAACTTTCCTAGTTTAAGTGTGATTGTGTAAATCCTAAATTAGAGTTGATTATAGTTATTATTTCCTATATGAACTTGTATTTGTTGGGGATGAATGATTTATTATCTCTCTTATTATTATAAATAAAAGCACTACGTAAGGGGAAATAACACACACATTCCTCTACACAATTCTACAAACACACACCTCTCTCTCTTCTCCCATTGCCGCCGGGCTCCTTCCCCTTGTCAAATAAAATAAGTTACAACAATTGAGTTAAAGTTGATGGACTATTGTTACAATTTTCTCTTTTTAAAATTTTTAAAAGGTCAAAATGATATTAAATTTCAGCTATATAAAAATGAGAACAGATGGCAAAATTGGAATGAAGTATTAGGCTGATGTGGTAGTACCGTGCTACCCTATAATTTCGGACCTGGATTGTCTGCCCTCCCATTTCGGTGCCCTTCCCGTGCCCTCCTATTTTGTGTGGTCACGGTTAAGCCACGTCAACATTTTATATTGTTTTTTTATAAAAATAATAAAATAAAAAGAAATAATAATATAAAATGTTGACGTGATTTAACCGTGACCACACAAACAGGAGGCCACCGAAATGGGAGGGCAGACAATCCAAATCCTATAATTTCTCCCGTTATACATGGCCCAACTTTCCCAAATCCTCCCTTTGTTTGTCGCAGTTGTGCAGAAAGAAGAAGCATCATCCCTCTTTCCCCAAAAGCAAAAGCTGTTGGGTAGTACTCTGCAATGGCGAATCCCTCCCAAGCTGTCGGCGGCAGAGGACCAACCACTCATGTCATCTTCGATATGGACGGCCTCTTACTCGGTAATTTCATCAAATACTTGTCCTACATCGTCTCCCCCTTTCAATCTGCTTCCGTTGCCTTTGTCTTGGTCTCACTCGAGTACTCTAGCAATAGTAGTATTTGAGCTCTTCCCTCACATCTTAACCTACCATATATCAATTCATTCATCAAGGATACACACACATATTTATGCGGACGCACGTTGTGGCATCCTTTGTTGTCTTCAGATTTGCACGTTGCCCAGCCAGTATAAAGTTTATGGATTCGCCATGTATGTATATGTGTGTATCTCCTAATAGTCTTGATATTTTCACTTGGTCTTTCTTTTTTATTAATTTGTGGACCAATTTTAGTTGCTAATCATTGTTGGAAAAGTTAATTAGTCCCGTTGTTCGTCTGTTCTGCGTACATTGATTTTCAACTATAATTAATGCCATAACAGTTTTAATATCGTTTTCGTTGATTTACGGGTTCTCATAGCTTGGTTGTTAAGTGGGAGAGAATTATAGTTTCTGCCCAGATTCTTGGAAATAAACTGATGGTGGGATATGATTTCTCTGCCGATTCAGACACAGAGAAGTTTTATACTGAAGTCCAGGAAAAAATACTTGCTAGGTATAATAAAACTTTTGATTGGTCTCTCAAAGCGAAAATGATGGGAAAGAAAGCAATCGAAGCTGCTCGGGTGTTTGTTGAAGAATCTGGAATTAGTGACACCCTAACTGCTGAGGGTTTTCTAGTTGAGAGAGAGGCGGTGTTGCAGAGTTTGTTTCCAACAAGTGAGCTCATGCCAGGTACCGTTCATATGCTTACAGACAAACACGAATACTTAGATACAAGTGCTGTAGACTTAAATTTGTTTACTTCTTATGTACTATCGAATGCCTATCAAAACTTCATGGTATCTGATTTAGCTTTCTATAACTTGGATATGAGTTACCCCATTTCTTAAAATCTTATGCTAGTTATGAAGGTTTCACTTTCTTTGAACGGGGATATTATTATCTTATGCTAATCATCATCATCGCCACAGCTCGCGTCTGCTAGTTTTAATTTATTCTTTTCGGTACAAATTGTAGGGGCTAGCCGCTTGATCAGACATCTTCATGCAAAAGGAATACCATGTGCCTTGGCAACGGGGTATAGTTCCTTGAATTTTCATTTTGTAATTTTAGCAAATGGAGATTAGGTCTATGTATAGCATGTCCAATAACTTCAAACCTTTCAGACATTTTGCGTTGTCATAAATCATTATTATGATTGGAGTTTTATAATGATAACTCACCAGACTACTACAACCATCACTCGTTTTAAAATATGTCTTGCAGTTCTCAGAAGACACATTTTGAATTGAAAACACAAAAACATGGCAAACTTTTTTCATTGATGCATCATCTAGTCCTTGGCGATGATCCAGAAGTTAAACAAGGGAAGCCTGCACCAGATGTATTCCTTGCTGCAGCCAAAAGATTTGAGGTATAACCATCTCAGATATGTTCCTCTGTCATATTACTTGTCATGACCCTGAGCGGCTTGCCACATTGGCGTGGTGTCCCAAAATGACTAGTCACTAATGAGGTTTTCCATAATCAATCTATATAGCTGATATGATTAAACACAAAACCGATGTAGTACTTTCCACACATTCACACTACATATGCACAAATGAAATAAGGACGTCAAAGTACTTGGAATCATTTGGTTATTACAGAAACAAGATTGGGTTGTGACGTTTGTTTCCATGATAGTTTCTTTGTATGGGGATATCTGTACAGAATGGTTTGTACTATTAAGTCCTTTACACATTAGTATTTTTGGTCAACATAGAAATTGATTAGGTAAAAGTGACTGATTACAAGATTTGTGTAAACAGGGTTCCCCAATTGATCCGAAGAAAATTCTAGTGTTTGAAGATGCACCAGCTGGAGTTCTTGCAGCCAAGAATGCTGGAATGTAAGTGCTGTAGTTTGAATTTGATTGCACATGTGAGATATCAGTTATCATATCATAAATAACTGATTTTTTTTATCATATTTACTTTCACATGTTAAAAGAGTGAATTATTGCTACATACATGTGTACATTTGCTGTTTTGGTTGGTGGCATTCTTATCTGTCTGCATACATCTAGCCGTTAATAATTTCACAAATCAAAGATATGATGTATGTGTATATTTTATAGAATAGAACAGTAAATACAAAAAGAATTTTAAGTGATACGGTGGCCATTTCGTTTTGAGGTATTGCAAAATGGACTTGAAAAAATTAGATATTTCATGTCGTTTCAATAAAGGATGAGCTTAGCATGAAGGTTTATTTGTGCTAGTATTAACTTCCTCTTTCCAACCAAAGGGGATTGAGCTGACATAGTTCTTCTGCCTGCATCCATTGATCATATTGCCATGAAACAAAAGAACTTGTGCTGTTGGCGGAATTGGATTGCAGTATGTAGCTTAACCACTGTCAGAAGGGCTACAAAATTTGTCCTGAGGTCTTTTAATGAGGCCTTGTTTCTTTTAGTATTGAACTGAGTGTTAGGTAATACGCATTGCATTCATAAATGTTAGGGAATGACAAGTCTTTAGTACTGAAATGAATACCTCGAAGGTAGAGAACATACGCTTGCAAATACATAAATAATCTTAGATTACCTAAACTACAAACAGAATTCAAACATGAATTCATCGCTTGATTCTGACTCAACCAGGAAGGCCCTTGCACCAAATAGGCTAATTTGTCTTCTCTACCAGTGCCCTACCTTGAGTCGCCTTTACATTAGAATCTAAGCCTCTTTATGACATGTTCTTGGTGGCATCTCAAATGAATGATCGCCAATAGAAGTCATCTGAACTTTATGTCGATTTAAATATACAGTCCCTGCTTTTATGCTGCAATGTTTAACGTTCTACCCTATCTCCGTGCGAATATTATATCTATAAAAACTAGAATACAAACTTTGATTCAATTGAATATTTGGTTCTGGTTTTTACTAATATTATCATCACGTGTTAAACAGGAAGGTTGTAATGGTTCCAGATCCAAGACTGGACAGCTGTTTTTATGATATTGCAGACCAAGTTTTGAAATCCCTATTGGATTTAAACCCAAGCGATTGGGGTCTGCCGCCGTTTGACAATCCGGCGAGCTAAACCATGCTTCGTTGTGCGCACATTTACGATGAAATAGAGAAATAATCAACTATTATGCCTAGATTTGAAGGCACACTTTGATGGTTTTCGCTGGATTATCATTCGTACGTTGTTATTCCATTGATATTCTAAATTGGCCAGCGGCTTCAACAGTGACTATCGATATTCTGTTTTAAAACTTCCACAGCTGTTAATCGCTAGATGATGGATTACAATATAGGCCAACTAACGCTAACAGATGATGGATTACCCATCAATACTCAAATGACCGTTCTTCGACACAACATATGTACTATCAGGTCAAGTGTGTGACAAGTAAATTTTATCATTCTTCATATGGTCAGGACGACGATAGTCGGTTTCCTTCATATACGCTTAAGACACAATAATATGTCCCAATGGGTCGGCCTTCTTGTAGAAAATGCGCTTCAAGAGACTAAAGGGTGGTTTGGAAGTAAGGTGCTTAAAAAAAAAACACCCATGAAAAAAAGTTGTAAGGGTTTTAAGAGTTTGGTAAACTAAAAAAAAATGGTTTATTTTGGAAGCTGCTATGAGAATAAGCTGAAATCAAAGGAAAAGCTGAAGCATCTATTTGCAGCTTTGGAAAACTGGCTTTTTTTCAAAGGAAAACTAATGAAAAGGGCTTAAAAACTTTGAGTTTTAATGATAAGGACAAAATAAAAGGTAAAGTGAATAGTAGCGGGTTTGATTTTTTAGTGTAAAAATGTGGTTTTTCGTTAAAGTGAACAGTACCGTGGGCTTTTCGTTAAAACTTCCTTTTTTCAAAGCACACGGAGCTACAGTGCTCCTTCAATGAAAAGACCCACTATCAGACTGCTTTTTTTTTTTTTCCAAAAGCACTTTTACAAAAAAGTTTACTAAACACTTTGCTGATTTATTTCACAGCCGCTTATTCTCACAGCACAACCGCTTATTCTCACAACTTTTTTTCAAAGCACAGCAATACCAAACCAACCCTAATAATTCCTGAAGTTCCGAGTTTGTTCATGGATGTCTAGATCCTATATCACTGAATTTGCACGAATATATCATGAGTTTGCTCTTTCGCATCTCTTTCAACTATTGTATAACAATTGTCCAATGATAATGTATTAGTTTAAGCGACTTATTTGATGATTTTTTTTCCACTTATTTGATACTTAATGTTCAACTCTGCCTGTGTAAGTTTATCTTACATTGCCGGTCCCAAGCCCGGATAAAGGAGGAGGGGGAGAGCGTCAGGTAGTCGACAGCCGGCACTCCACAGTTACGTCGAATCCTTATGACAATGAATCCAGAACGAAATTGCGCTAAAGCTAGGACGTCACCCGTAAGTGGCGCGCTGTGTGGCCCGAGCACAGTGATAAGTGAGCAAGGGTCGCTGTATCTCCATCGGCACCCAGATGCAGTGTTAAATGAGCAAGGGGGCCATAGAAACTTCTTTTCGAACGACTCCACTCAAAGTTGTTTGGGAGCATATGCTCCTATCAACTTTACATAGGACACACAAAAGAAGTACTTTGATCCTATTAGACGGGGGATGGTGAAGAAGCTAGGACAGAAGGGTAGAGTTCAAGAGAGTAGAATGCGTTTAGGAACGTGGAATATAGGAACCTTAACGGGAAAATCTATGGAAGTAGTGGAAGTTATGGTGAGGAGAAGGATAAATATTATGTGCCTACAAGAAACTAAGTGGGTTGGTCTTAAGGCAAAGGATCTAGAAAACTCAGGGTTTAAGCTTTGGTATTCGGGCACAAATAGAACGAGAAACGATGTTGGCATCATTGTGGACAAGACCTTGACACAAGATGTTGTAGATATCAAGAGTGTAGGAGATAGAATCATGGCAATCAAGATTGTAATAGGACAAGAACTCATCAATGTGATTAGTGCGTACGCACCTCAAGTAGGGTTGGATACGAGTTCGAAGGAGAAATTTTGGGAAGACCTTGGAGACTTGGTGCAAGGAATTGCTCAGACGGAGAAGTTATTTATAGGAGGAGATTTAAATGGAAACGTGGGCAGGGAGACAGGCAACTATGGAGGTTTTCATGGTGGCCATGGTTTTGGGGAGAGAAACGAGGATGGGGAAGCTATCTTGGATTTTGCAATGGCATATGATCTCTTCTTAGCCAACACCTTCTTTAAGAAGAGAGAAGAACATGTGATCACCTACAAGAGTGGGTCGTCAAAAACACAAATAGATTTTCTTCTAATGAGGAAAGGGGATCGTATAACTTGTAAGGATTGCAAAGTTATACCGGGGGAGAGCTTGGCTAATCAACATCGCTTGTTGGTGATGGATGTACATATCAAAAGAGTGAGAAAAAAGAACAAGACTTGGAAGTGCCCAAGGACTAGATGGTGGAATCTAAAAGGAGAAAAACAAGTCATTTTCAAAGAGAAAGTAATCACCCAGTGTGTGTGGGATAGAGAGGGGGAAGCTAGCCAAAGGTGGGATTCCATGGCTAGCTGTATCCGAAAAGTAGCAAAAGAGGTATTAGGAGAGTCCAAGGGCTTTGCTCCACACCAAAAGGAATCTTGGTGGTGGAATGAGGAGGTACAAACAAAGGTGAAGGCTAAGAAGGAATGTTGTAAAGCCTTATACAAGGATAAGACCGATGAAAATGGTGAAAGGTATAGAAGAGCGAATCAAGAGGTGAAGAAAGCTGTGAGAGAAGCTAAGTTAGCGGCTTAGGACGATATGTATAAGCGACTAGATACCAAAGAAGGAGAGTTGGATATCTATAAACTAGCTAGAGCAAGGGAAAAGAAGACAAGGGACCTAAACCAAGTGAGGTGCATCAAGGATAAGGATGGAAAGGTTCTTGCTACAGAGAACGCGGTTAAAGACAGATGGAGAGGTTATTTTCATAATCTTTTCAATAAAGGACATGAAAGGAGTACTTCTTTAGGGGAGTTGAGTAACTCAGAAGAGTGTAGAAACTACTCCTTTTATCGTCGAATCAGGAAGGAAGAAGTGGTTGTAGCTTTGAAGAAGATGAAGCATATAAAAGCAGTGGGCCCAGACGATATACCGATTGAAGTATGGAAAGCCTTGGGAGAGACAGGTATAGCATGGCTCACTAACCTTTTCAATAGGATTTTGAAAACGAAGAAGATGCCAAACGAGTGGCGAAAGAGCACCTTGGTGCCTATTTACAAGAATAAGGGTGACGTACAAAATTGCATGAACTATAGGGGTATTAAGCTAATGAATCATACAATGAAGCTCTGGGAGAGAGTCATTGAGCATAGATTGAGGCAAGAGACACGGGTTTCGGACAACCAATTCGGGTTCATGCCAGGGCGCTCAACCATGGAGGCAATCTATCTCTTACGAAGATTGATGGAAAGATATAGAGATGGGAAAAAGGATTTACACATGGTCTTTATAGATTTGGAAAAAGCGTATGATAGGGTCCTAAGAGACATTCTTTGGAGGATTTTAGAGAAGAAAGGAGTACGAGTAGCATATATCCAAGCTATAAAGGATATGTATGAAAGAGCAAAGACTGTCGTAAGAACTCATGAATGACAAACCGAAAGCTTCCCCATAACTGTAGGATTACATCAAGGCTCATCCTTAAGTCCTTACCTTTTTGCGTTGGTAATGGATGAGTTAACAGGACATATTCAAGATGATATTCCTTGGTGTATGCTTTTCGCAGACGATATAGTGTTGATAGATCAAACTCAGGAAGGGGTAAATGCGAAGCTTAACCTTTGGATAGAAGTGTTGGAATCTAAAGGTCTTCGCCTAAGCCGATCAAAGACAGAATATATGGAGTGCAAGTTCAGTGCAAATGGAGGCCAAAATGAGTTAGGGGTGAGGATCGGAGATCAGGAAATACCAAAGAGCGACCGTTTTCGCTACCTAGGATCTATCTTGCAAAAGAATGGAGAATTAGATGGAGATCTCAACCATAGAATACAAGCTAGATGGATGAAGTGGAAGAGTGCATCCAGCGTGTTGTGTGATCGTCGTATGCCACTGAAGCTTAAGGGAAAATTCTATAGGACGGCAATAAGGCCGGCGATGCTGTATGGCACAGAATGTTGGGCGGTGAAGCATCAACACGTACATAAAATAGGTGTAGCGGAGATGAAGATGCTTCGTTGGATGTGTGGGCACACAAGAAAGGATAAGTTTAGGAATGAAGATATCCGAGGTAAAGTAGGAGTAGTCGAAATTGAAGGAAAGCTGAGAGAAAATCGGTTACGGTGGTTTGGACATGTGCAAAGAAGGCCTACTGACGCTCCGGTTAGAAGATGCGACTACGAGACAGAGGTTTAGGGCCGAAGGGGTAGAGGAAGACCTAGGAAAACTTTGGAAGAGACTCTAAGAAAAGACTTAGAGTACTTGGATCTAACGGAGGACATGACACAGGATCGAGCACAATGGCGTTCTAAGATTCATATAGCCGACCCCACTCAGTGACTTGGATTTTTTCAAGTCTCCAATCGAGAAGTTTTCCCCACTCGGGAATTAAGGGAACACTACCTCAACCTACATGCTCTACTCACAAAGCTTCAACATACAAGCTTCAACAAAAGAAAAATTCAAAGAACTTAGCGAAGAAGGCTTTGGTGTATTTAACACAATACGTTGAAATTAAACAAAGCTTATTTATTGATATCTCCAATAAGTTACAAATATGTACATATACATGAGTCAAAATAAACAAACAAGAGGGAGCCTTCACAAAGGTTGCTTAGGAGAAGCCTCAGCAGTCGGTAGAGCCCCAGAAAGAGAAGGCACCGGAGGGAGATCATTCGAAGCCTCAGTACTGGACAGCAACTTAGAAGGAGGAGGCATCAGAGGTTGATCATTTGGAGCTTCATTACGCGGTACAGCCCCAGAAGACGAAGGCAATAAATGTCTTTGGAACAAACCCACAAACCTCTGATGATCATGTAAAATCTGACCATCAGATTCCTTCATCTGGTCAAGCTTCCTCTTCATGTTTGTAGCATAGTCATGTGCGAGCCGGTGCAACTGTTTATTCTTATGCTTGAGCCCTCTAATCTCCTGTTTGAGACTCATCACTTCAGCCGCCAATGATTCAACTTGGCGGGTTCGAGCAAATAGGCGTTGGGCCATATTAGACACAGAACCTGCACACTGAACACTGAGAGCCAGAGAATCCTTAACAGCCAACTCATCAGACCGTTTGGAAATTAGT